GTTTTATACTGTTTTTCGCATTTCTTTGTTCTAATTGTGTGTGTGCTTTGTGGCGTTTTGTTGAAAATCCTCAACGATTGGATTGACGAGCATCAAAACTAGGATCCGGATATTTCCATGACAACAACGAAATGGCTCTATTTCCTTCTTATAAAACCTTTTTACTTAATGTTGCATAGATGTTTATTGAAGATTCTTTAGATGAAATTCGAATTGTAAGAAGATTGCTTTTGACTGAAATAATTAAATGCATTCTCATTTGCGTGAAATTGCAAATAAATGTGAAAATATGCTGCTTGTAGAAACCAAATTTAACATTGTCTTTAAGATGATGACGACAATGATGACATGATGATGGCAGTGGTTGTAGTAGCAAAAGCTTATACAATGCTGTGTACGTAAATCGATTGGATGTAAAATAAATCATTAAGAAGTACTTTCATTTATATATTAAGCAAAAACGTCGTACGAAATGCTAATGATTTACTTGCATGCGCACATTAAACGGGATTTCTGTAGCAAAATATTCGTCGCCATCCGAAAAATGGTACATTAAAACATACTTTGTTGTCGCATATATCATTTTTGCTGAAAGAAATAAATGAGAATCGGAGAAAATTTCGCAACGAAATTTGTAATTCCATTGAATGTTGAAAGTGTATGTGTAGGACTTTGCCTGTATATACAGCTGAATGGGATTCTTAATTCCGGTAGAATGAGAAAGGTAGAAAAAGTGTGTAGTATCCAAGGTAATGAAATGGAAAAGTTTTCCGAAATTACTAACCGCATGCTAAATGACGAACCGTCAACACACAAATGCTGCAATACATTTTAGGGATAAAAACTCTTAGTCTAGCTTCACTGTGTACGGTGAGTGGTAAGCGGCGACGACGGTGATGCCGACAATGAAGACGACGGGCGAAAGCTATTCGATTGTATGTATATTTTTACCACATGCCTTATGATTTATTTAATTTTAATGTTAAATGCTTTTCGCTCGAATAAAAATTGTGTGGATATATATAAAAGAAATACCGAACAATTTTCATGCAGCAAAAATAAAACTGACTGACTCAACAAAACTTCGGCAATAAACGTTTTGTATGCTGAAATGTAGACGATACAAAAGCCCGTAAAATGCCTTTACAAAACGCCAAGAAAAACAAGCACACAACCACTTCATTTATATGAGGAATAAGTGTTGAAATTCGCACCTTACATATTTCTTACAGCGATTTTCGCAACTTTTCTACTTTTCTACATGCGTCATCGCAAAAATTGTAACATTTATTTTGTAACACTCTTCCGATTCTCAACAAATCGCAATGTATGTTAATTTGAATTTTCCTCATTTGCATTGACAAAGAGAACCAACAGCAATGTGCACGATAGCAAAAGTCTTCGTCATATTTGTTCGAACGTACTTTTTTTCTCCAGTGCAATGTAGGTGAGGGTGGGTGTGTGTGCGTCGGTGTTTTATTAGTCTTGTGAAAAATTGAATTCTTTTTAGTTCGTTGCACTTGAAGGAGGTTGATGTTGAAAGTGAATTATCATCACTTTATCGATTTTTAACACCTGTAACAAATGCGATTTTAACCGAAAGGGCCAATTTCATGTTTTCGCTCGGTGTGATTGCTCGGGAAAGAATTCAATGATTGTTCGCACATGAATCATAAAAAAGCGGCACCACTCAAGAGTCACCTTAAAACGAATAGGTCATCGATTTATTTGCTTTCTTTTCACATTCGAAGAACATTCCTCTATTTTATAGTGATATCGAATAATAACAAAAACTAGTTCAAAAACATTGCAAATATGGGATAAAGTGAAAGATTAACTCCATTCAATGGAGTCACTTTTAAAAATGGTTCAACTTAAATACATTTTCCATGTCGCATCATTGTCTACCTCCTTTTTTTGGTGTGGAAAAAAACCTGTCGGGCAAAATTGGGTTTTATCGTAAATTGGAATCGAATCAAATTAATAACCGTGTACGACATTCGTGCGCCATCAGATCGATTTCTCTTTTCATTTTATTTGTTCAACGATTTTTTTTGCTGCTTCTTCGTTTTCTCTTTCTTCATGAAATGCAGTCTGCATTTAGGTGTTCAAATATATCAGATCTCGATTTCATTTTGTTCTTGTTTAAAAGTTTGAATTGAAGCGTTCTGCGCGCGTTAAGAAAGATTGATTAAATAAGCTTGCAGTTGAACAGCGTTCGATGTGTACGCTACCGTGAGAAAGGTGAAAAAAACATGGAGTATGAAAAACTATTTCAATATATACAGGTATCGTTGGCGGGTTGACACTGGCTAAAGTGGTGCTATCAAAATGTACACATGCAGAGAAGATAGATGCATTGTGATTTTGTTACGTTTGACAGGTGCTAATCTGTTTTAGCCAGTGGTCGTGCTCAACACTGGATGTGCCATTCATCCATATCGTTCATCCGATATGCTTGTATCGGTTGTATGTATATGTTGTCTTAGTCCATTTAGATTAAAGTTTTAGTCCTTGGGTCGGTCGCGTTTGATTGAGAGACCAAAAGACACCAATAAAAAGTGGCATCATCTAATATACGACTCTATCATTATTGAGTTGATCCTCAATTCGTATGAATTGTAGTTTGTACTTTGCGTTTATGGACTCTACTCAAGCGACCACCCCTAAAGCTTCTCAATTTTCAAATGGCGATTTATTGCAATCCATAATGCTTTCTCGCTTTCAACTATTAGGTCAGTGATAGAGTTGCTTCATTTATTAAGCTTTCCGGATTGAGTGCGCTCGGAACGTTGTGTCTTTTTTTCTATCTCCATTCACTTTTGTCCATTTTCGTGTGTCAATTGCGCGTTAAGCGCCAATCAAAAGAAAAATGTTCGTTACTCAATTTGATCGATATTGTGCGTATGTTTTATCAGGCAACGTGTTTGCAACCAAATTGCCAACATTTCTGTCTATCATTTTGTTTCGCAACCCGAACACACCATTTAAAATGAAAGAGATACAAAACCGAAGAATACGAAGGAATGAATGAGCGGTAGAGTACATATGGCCGAGTAGTCGTTAATCTTCTTGCAATATCTTAAATTCTTAAGCCATTATTTATAATGTATGAATCGATACGCAAGCGATAAATCTTCGTATTTAACCCGTTTCTTACTGCTTTTTGGAAAATCGAAATTTATCACTTGATTATGTTGAAAGCGCCACTTCCACCTGCGCAACCATTTTCAGATTCTCTTCGTAAACTCACATTGTATTCATTTACACCAGTGCAAGGCATCGTAATTGTTTGGCCAGCAGAAATGCACAATATAGCTCTCTAAATACCAAATAATTGTTTTCAATATTATTGTGTTTAAATTCCAAAAGCCCCCGTTGTTACCGAAGAGACGGAGAGAAGGAGCCCGCTTTATTTACAGTCCAATGAATGCATCAATTATTACGACAACGCCAAAGCACTCGAAAACTGCATTTTGCGATTTGCTAACTGTTCTCGATTTTCTGTGCCATAAATTGCCTCAAGTACACAATATGATTCAATTTATGGTAGCTGATTGGGACTGTGCTTTGGTTCAATAATTGCACATTCATTGTCGCGGTTAAGCTGAATTTTGGTTGGTATTTTTCTCTTGTTTTTTACGCATTCAATTGGTTAAACAAAACGGTAATTAGAGAGACTGTAATCGGGTCTAATCAGAATTTGTGCGCATCATAAAATACACCGAACATAGATACCGTTCGGGCATATATGTGCGCTTAATCGATTGATGCACATTTTTTACGGTATCGAGTTTACATTGCATTAAATAATTTGGATAATGAAACCTCGTTTAAAATCAATTCAGTTGGTAGCAGAATCAATCAATATATTTCAATTTGAAACCGCCACACATTAGTCAGGCCACACCTTAATTACTTTCGATTTTCATAGCCGGTAACATTTGCAACAGCAGCCATCCACTCTCACTCACATCCAAATTTCATGAATACAAATTAATATTTTATTTAGCCGTAACCAAATAAATGCGGTCATCATTTAGTCTAGGCCTGATTGATCCGCTCAGTCGTATCAGTCAATTGCATATAATGTAACATTGATATGTGAACACTCTATCATGATTTAAACATTTTGAACAAGCCACATACACTCTTGTTTATGAGCTGCCATGAAGAAAAACCTCGGTGACTGATGACTGTTGAGATTTGAGGTTGTGCAAATCAATGCCTTTCGTGTGTCAGTTGCATCAGGCATCGACAATTATACTGACAGATTTCAACTCATTGTGGTCAATCGACGCAATTATACCATTTATTTGGACATACATACATCTTTTTTTTTCACACAATTCTAAACGATTAATATTTGATTGACCGCATGAATTTTCATTTCATTTATATTGAGTCTGTATAGTTTGTTGTGAGCGATACGATTTTTTTTACCATTTCAATATTATTTACGCCCATATTTCAAACGGATTTCAAAACACATTTTGCACACATGTCACCCGTCAACATTGAGTTAATGATTTAAAATAAACCCTTCTCTATGCATTGGACGAAAATTGTAATAATCATTCTTCAGTCGGATAAAAATAGTAATCCATTGATAGTCTCTAGTTCTTTTTGTGCTTAAGTAGATCTTTTGATATATATAGTGTGTTATTTTTCAACCTAGCAGTCCAAAATGATGAGCTGATTAAAGGCATGCGACAGAACGGAGAAGTTGGGGTGATGCGTGCGCCGCACAATCGTTATGTTCCCATGGAAGTGAAAGCACCACTGAACAAGTTCCACAGTCATACGATAATGTCTCGCATTGGAATGATGGAATGGAAAGAATGTTTCTCCGTTGCGTTTGTGAATTGATTTTGAGTACGGCATCGGCTCCCGCTTTATTCAAAACCGGAAAATTCAAGTGTGTGTTGACTCAAACTCAACATAGAGATAGATATGAACATTGCCACTGCATAAGCGATAGTCAGTTGCGAATAATCGAGTGTTCGAATCACACGTCTCATCAATGTATACGGATCAAAGTTGTCGAATTCCTTCCATTTTCTCGCATACATGGTATTGCTCTGCATTGTAATGATGTTGAGAAATTGATAACGCGTGTAAGTGAAACGGACATTTATGATGCGAATTCAATAAAAGACCACTGAGATCGTGTATATTTGATGGAATTTGCGGTTTTTGTGTGATTGGTTTTCTCTTTTCTTGGAAGAATTTCACATTATTTCAAAATGATTGTTAAAAATTTATAAGTAAGTTAATCTACTAATACAAAACGTGGTAATTGTGAAAAAATGCTTATGTGTGCACGACAAAAAATCGAATTTGTTACAATGTGAAAATTAATCCCAGATAGTGTTCGAAGTTTTAATTGAAATACGAAAATAAGTTTGAATATTGTGAGATCAATTGGATGCGAAAAAAAGAATTGCAAGAACAATGGAGCCCATTCATTGATTCATTCTCGCTCTCAATATTGAGTCTGTCCTTCAATGAAAATTAGTGCTTGTGAAAGTTGGCTCGAAATTAAGTGGCGAATGAATTTCTAGTGAATTTTCAGTGCGGAACAAATGTGAAAACAGCGAATATGTTTTTTTTGTACAAGATCGAGCAACAGTAGTTAGTTACTATACGCATTTTCCGGATTGAAATTACAAAAATACCACACCATAAATTACTTTGGACCAATTTGCGGATAGGTTGACCTATTGAAAACGAGATCTTTAGAAATATATTTCAAAATTCAAAGTGATTGCATGCCATTGAAAAGCGAACCAACAACAATAATTGCTTCATGGAAAATTAAATGGTAACACATGCTATGCGTACGTTTAAATTACATTTGCGTAAGTGAATATCCAAAGGGTGGCCAGTAATTAAACGAAATGTGTTTGACTTCAACATCAAATTGCTTTATTTTTCATTATCAAATGTTTTCAAATGTTCCACACTTTATGCGCTATTATGTGTCAATTGCCTTTAATCATTTATTTCCCATCGATTGTATTAAATTCAATAGCAAAACAATTTTATGTGCGATTGACTCAAGTAAATTCATGTCCATCGTCATCGAATGAATGGCATGCGTGGGAGTGAGCCTGACAAAAGGAAAGCCGATGATCAGCGCAAAATCATTTCCAAGATATTTGATTTGTCTCGTATGATGTACGCAGTCAGAATATAAATTAATAATTAACATAAGAGATTGAGGTCATCATGACGTATACTTGCAAACGATTGATTCGTAACGTCGTTTTATGTTGATGCGTTCTGATGTACGCATTGATTTTGTGATATGTGTATCGATGGTTTCGATGGTTTCGAATTTGATGTATGTTATATTGATGTGTATGATTGTTATTTTGGGTTAAATTTAGTGCAAGGGGCGTAAAACGAAGCAAATCTTCGGATTTCTATCGATTTCAAACACTCATGTGTGATTGATTAAAGGGCATGCAGCAAAATGTATGATTCAATTTTTAGCAGCAATAACTGTGTTGATACCACATTAACATGATTAATTCACTCATCCGAAAAACAACAGCAGCCAGACTATAATATTTGATTTCGGAGGGATAAAAATAGCTAGCCGTCAATCGCGCACACATATACACAATTCGATAACCAATTCAGCCACTATCGACATTGTATCGAAAGCTGTGCAAATGCTAAATATTTCGTTTATGTACGCACGTTTTCTTCGAATCCATTCCAAATGGCTGCTTTTTGAAATAATCATATCGTAAAATATAGTCATATACATGGATATTGGATACACTATGTTTAGTCATTCGCTATCAAGTTAAAGCATCTGAATCGAATTTAGATATGAAGACAAACCGAATGCGACGCAAACATTTTTGCATAGACCAAGTCCAATAAAAGGTCGAATATTAACATCGATCGCAAATAATTCACCAGAATATGTATATTGTCTTTCTGTATTTTATCTCTGAACGCATTTGCCATACGAGAATTATAATCCAAAAATGTGTATCGCTTTGTACCACAACTGCAGACGCACATCATTTCTCTTTGAACGCTTTTTCCACTGTATCGTATCAATGTTTATGACAGAATCGATTCGAATAGCAAAATTGTTCAAATAAACGGCAAATGCTCTCACCATATAACCGATTTTTGAAGAATAACAACTTCGTCATTCCATTCATTTTTATTTTTGCCTACCAATTGCACATATACATTTCAATTTCTTTCAATTCATAAACTCAAAATAAATAAACAAAAACCAAAGACACACATTGCAAAGAAAAATCGAAAAAAGAAAGAAACTAGAGCAGGAGCGAAAAAAGGCGCTTACAAAATATCTTCTTCACGTCTAATCGAATAATACGCTTCATTAATTTAGAAATGTATCCGAAAAAAAAATTGCGAGTATTTTGAATGGACTTACATAGATGTGAGCTTTTGATGCTGGTGTCACTCACTACAAAACTCGATTTACTGTTTCATTTTCTTTCTCGCTCTTTTCTCGCGGTCGTTTTCTCCATCTATACATCTATCTCTCTTCAAAAGACTGGAGTCCCGACACCACAATATGACTCAAAGATTTTTTTTTTATTTGAAATCATTGAGCGACCAAAACATGAAATAAATGTGACTAGCTATAAAATGCTACAAGTTACGAAGCATTTCTGCTGCCTCCGTATCGTTCCGTATCGTTGACTATTCACAGATGACAGTCGAATAGCTGACACATTTTTTTTCTTAAGTTTTTTCGATTTTCAATAAAGTTGACATCATGTCCGCAACGCATTTTCCACAAAAGTATCATAGCCGCCAAACAACAACAAATATACGCTACTACGTCAACAAAAAGAAATTCCGTCTTTGAATATAACGTCGCACAAATCGAATATCAGAAATTCTTGAAAAATTTGCCTTTTCTTGTGTTTGCTGTGGTTGGTGAACACGCGCCGTCAAAAAATGTCAGGCAATAAAATTGACAGCTCACAAAAACTGCACTATAATGCGGCTAGCAATTTACCCCACAGACGGAGTCTCACAGTCAGAGTATATGAAATTTTTCTTCTCCGAAATCTACAAATACCGTAATTTGGTGAGACGTTTTTACATTCATACTGAAGCCATAAGACTTGCTAATGATTTTAATATATGTATGTATATGTTTCGTTTTCAATGGCCAGAAATTTGAAATTCGATTGAAAATCACATTTTTGTGCCTAGCCCCAACTACGTAAAACAATTTTTTTTTCATTTTCATTCGAGTTTTTTCGTTTTAAATATGGTTCCATTTACGTTTTTATCGTATGGCTTCTTTACGTCTTGCACTGTATTGACTAGACCGTAAAAAATACAACAAACTGTACAATCTTGACACTCAACCATTGATTGGTTTTTTCCTACTCTTTCTCTCTTTCTTGCCTTGGAATTGGTTAACGATACTTTCTGCACGTCTACAAACAAGAATCTCGATAAAAATTGATGTTTCCCATAGAAAAACTCAAAAAACACAACTCGACAAAAAGTCGTCCCATTTAATAAGTCGAAATTCCCCAAGCAAATAAATGAAATTACCAATTTGTTGTTCGTTAAAGTTGTGAATCTAATCTGCATAGAGAAGAAATCGAAGGGTGCGAAAAGTCCGGAAATAAACACACAAATCGAATGGGCCATTTGAGATGTGTAGTATGAAAGGCATACTTTCTCAAAGATTTCATATTTTTTGATGACCCCTCGACGAATTTTTCCAGCAATTCATTTCGTCGTATCCATCGTTTCATTTTGGTTCGCACAATTGTGCCAATTCCAATTTCGTTTTAAGTTTCGTTGAGGCCAAGATGAATTCAATGGCCAAGTGACAGAAATTTACTCAATCCAACCAGCAAGAAAATGGGCCACTTCAATTGAATATTGTAACGAATTTTTCAAACATTTCCCTTTTCCGTGATACACTCAGAATGGATTGGATTTTTGTCGAGGCGAAAAAACATACGAAAATATTTGCCTCATTTCATCGACGAGGACGGTACAAATGAGTTTTTTTATCGGAGTTGTTGTTTCTTTCATCTCTTCTTCAACCTTCATTCATTTTTTTAAATGGAAAAGGCCGCACTTCTCGTGAAAAGAGAGCAAGAAAAAAATAAATTAGCGGCAAGTTTGTTCATTTTCGTGTTCATCTTGTAAATAATTTTATTAACATTCGCAAGCATTTCTTTTCAACCGAATAGATTAAAAAAAGAGCGAAAGAAAATGAAGCCGAAATTTTCGTAATTTGAATAAAACATCCAATTTATTTTGGTCGATGATGAGCAGAAGAAGAAATTTTTTTTTTGTCGAAGTGCTCGTCTTTTTTTTGTTTCTTTCCAATTGTTATGTGTCGTTATTTTGTCAATTTCATTAGAAAATTACAGTTGATGTGCACTTTTTGAGCCGTCATCGTCTGTTCGCCTCATTATTTTTAATCGCGGCAATTTTATATTTTCAATTTCACTATCATAATTTTTTGTTTGTTGAGTATAGTATCATCGTAGAGAGAACAACAAACCAACACGGCGATGAAGTTTAAAGATGAAAAATGTTGCGTTAGAACGCATACCCTCTTGTACTATAATGACATACGACTAATCTTTATCATTGCAATGAACTCGGCACCCAGCCATTTGATCATGTGCGGCTGTTGAATTAGGGCTTCAATAATGACCTCGCTTTTGCACAGAGCAAAAAAGCGTATTTGCTTGCCAGTCATCAAGCAACGTCACTGATATGATCCGTAAGGGACTTAATCTTCATTTATAATTCATTTTTTCTGTGGTTTCTTTTTTTCTGTCGTCGCTTTCAATTCATATTCCTTTTTTTCGCCGCATCGGAATGTCGAAGCGAATATTCGTTGCTGCTGTATGAATAGCACACCAAAATCATCCGCATGAAATTAATTGCAAATAAAACGTTTTGTTGGCAAATCGAGCTCAAAATAAACGACCACATCGAACCCCGATTAACTGAGCAGTCATCGTTAATTTTCACCCGAATAAAATTAAATTATTTGGAGCTGCTTTTGTTTGTGTGTTTGTGTGTTAGTTGTCAAACATCAATTCTCAAAGTAAATATTAGTTTTTGGTTCAGGCTCTGCGTTACATTTGTTTGTTGCTTCCCGGAGCGTTTAGGAGAGCAAACGACGAGTAAGATTTCAAATTAAACATCCATGGGAAATAATAAAATTTGCATAAAATTTCATAATGGTCGTGTGAAAAGTGTGCCTTGTCGCCTCAAGGAAAAATAACATTCGCGCACCAAAATACAAGCTCCAAGCGTACAACGCATCATGGCTTTTTGGTGTGGCCCGTAATTAAATAAATATCACTGAACCGTTTGCTATGTTGGGGTTGGTGCGAGATTATTTGGTTTTTGGCATTGCTGCCTGCACAGGTTCATGTAAACAAGAGTTTGAATTCACGAATGCGTGTTTTAACAGCGCGACCATAATGAATACATATTAGAGCTCTCACTTTCAATGTCAAGTATCCAAGCTCTCTTTCTCTTTCACCAATTCGCATTTCGTTCATTTAAATGTGCGCTCCATTCGGAATAAGTAATTAAGTTGGAAATTTAACCGCAACGCCAAACAAAATCATCTGCAAAGATGCAAAGATTATGTGCGGGGATTTCTCGTATGAACTCAATGATGCTGAAGCCATTTCGATATTAACTTACAATCTTCTATTAAATTATTTAGTTCGGGGCTACTTACAGATAAGACTTTTCGACACACTGACTGTGGATGATTGCATTTCAGGTGTATATACAGTATAACCATTATCCCTTTCGCAATAGACATGCTTGAAATTGAACCGAAATCTATTTTCGGTAAAATTCCGCGGCTCTCTTTAATTTCAAATAAATTTCTCAGAAAAAGTTGAATGTTCAAAGGTTCAGACAGTAAAAACTCGATGAGATCAGCGTGTATTCTTCTTAAACCACTTTGCATGATTATATGACATTTTGCCGTGGCAGACCTCTTCAAATCGCATTTTCTATGAATGCAATGCTTCGAATTAACTTCAATTTTACATGAAAGAAAATCTACACGACGGCTCAATGGTATGCTCGCTCGTTCAATGTGAAAAACAAAACCATCTAATGCTATTTTTATTGGGCTACTTTGTCAAAACCCCTTTTTTATTTGTTTGAATTGCGTTTGGAAAAAGTTTTTGAAATGTTTAACATAATTTGTACATATGAAATCTGTTCGTCGAAAAATATAATGATATATCGGGCTGAGAGGATAGACCCAACATGTTGTACACTTTGAACGTCATTAGTCATTATAGAACTTAAAATAGCAGTAGTAAGCCAATGTAAAAGCTAAACTCTCTATATTCTCTAAAAATATTATCTATTTGGAAATCTAATAGAGAAAATTCTCTAAAATCCACTCACAAATGAAAGTTATTAGATGGCACATGCCTAGCAGAAATGAATAATACTTACTGAACGACAAAGAGAGAGACAGCGAGAGAGAGAGAAATTGTGAAAACCGTAAGGCATGCCGAAAATGTTATCGTGATGAAATATCGCATAGTCGAAAACAGAGAAAAAGTAAATGTATATAAATAAGAATCCGACACACATACAATCCAGCATTATAAAGAGACTATAAACGCAACGTAGATGAGATGCTGACGAAAAAAAGAATGAATAAAGCACAGAAAGTGGGGAATATATGATATGCGAATTGAAAGCACCCCAAAGTGAAATAAAACTGAATAAACCGAATGTTTTTTTTTTGAATAGTAAAAGTTCGTGAACTTATTGTTGTTGGCGCTTTTTGTTTTTGTTGTTGCCACTATCGTTGAATGATCACATAGCGAGACCTTATAAAACTTTTTTCTGCACAATAACACCATGTGAAAATGGCTGTGAAACACGCAGCATCAATTTTAGTTTGTGTGACCTTTAGGCTGCAACCTTGTTTAGTATACAATTATTATTAACCATAATGGAGTCTTTATTCATATGTATGTATACTGAAAACTAGTTGAACCATATATCCAAGTAAATGGTCGACCAGACTATCTTTCTCTCGCTTTATGCCCCAGCAAAAAACAATATGAAATGGAATGGCGCTTACATTTAATGTGGCACAGATAAAATCGTCCAGCATCCAACAATTGATCTCACAATGCTTTTTTTTTATAAAAAAAATAAATAAATTTGTGAGTGTGTTAAATGTGAATTGAACCTATTTTTAGCTCCCGGCAATATATTAACGACCGACCGAAAAGAGAACAAAAAATATATATAATAAAATATTTGTCTGTTATGCTGTGAACAAGCGCACCCCATCATACAACTTACACATCGCATTCAATTAACCACAACAAACTGGAAAATATAGAGACAAACAATGAAACATAAACATAAAAATCGTATTTGTACCATACACAAGATAAAATTAAATGTGAATTTCGAGCAACCGACATACATCGACATATACACAAACATTCGTCTCGAATGTAACAAACATTCTATCGTGCATTAAATGGAAACTTCATTTAATTATGAACGAACATTTGACAGTTGAACATTTAATATCACAACAGAAAAATAAGGTCAACAATAAGCGAAACAGTTTAAATGTGATCAAGTGAATACGGTTAAATACACATAGCATGATGCATGGATTACCAACCCTGTTCATCATATTTTATTTGAAATTTTTTGAAGGTAAGTTTAAATGAATATTCGTACATTTTTTATTTGCTTTTTCTTTTTCTATTTCTCAGCTTGATGATATATAATCACGTTTTATTTGGGTTTTTTTAAAGTTCGCTTATTTGTATTTGTTTGAAAAATTCACTATGAAAAGAGATTTCATTGGGTAAAGTGGATCAAATTGAATTTCATAAATCAGTTCGGTCGAATGCACATATAGTTTTATCTCAATGCATATCTGAACATATTTTATGAATAGTATTTTACATGTTCGCTGGAAAATGTGTACGTTTTTTTCCTCTGAAATGTGATTTGACTGAAATCTGGAGTTTTAAATTTCTATAGTATCTATGAAAAATTCATCTCACGAAAATATTCTGCTGCGATTTGTGCATGCAAGTCAACAAAAGAGGGCACCACAGATGCAGATTTTATTCAATCATTTCCAGGAAGTCATTTGCGATGTTATCAAATATTCTCATAGCTTCTGGAGTTGGCGATCCAAGGGGGGTTGTAATTTCAAAATTTTCCAAAAATGTAAAGGGGTAACTTTTTCGTTTTGGTCTCGCACAAATTCAAAAATGCATGTTCACTCCTGGGGGGTGTCTCGGAGCATTTGCCTCAAAAAACCCTAGCAAATTGAAAGATTTTTCTCTTCGCCCAAAAACCCTAGCAAAATTCGATATTTTCTCCCTCTTTAGAAAATCAAGAGCAAAAAAAAAGGTCTTCACATTTTTCACGAAAATCCCTAGCAAATCGAAAGAATATTTCTAAGGGGGGAACTCCCAAATCTGCTCTCCAGGGGGGTTATCCAACCCCTCGGACCCCTGCTCAGAAACTGTGAATATTCTTGATATTTTTCAAAAATGAATCCATTCAAAATAGAATACAAACATTGGCCGGATGGTACAATATGATGGGTATTCTCTTTTCGATGGTGAATATAACATACATAATATTTTAGAGTATGTTTTAAGCTTTCAATGTTCATTCCAAAATAAATGAGCTTATAGAGAATAATCGTGCACAATGATTAGCTCTTTTGAATATATCGAGAAGAGAGTATGTTATCCAGCGCTTATGTCTGAGTAATGTCTGAATAAAAACATACTCTCCTCTCGATATTTTCAATAGAGCTGATATTCTTCAACAATATATGCATTGAAATAAATGAAATGCATCATTACAGATTATTGATTTCGAAATAAAAGCCATTCGATATTGCAAAAATATAAACCAGCTATCGTCAGTGGGTATGGTATATCGCAATCTTTTTGAACAGTTCATATTTTACGAAATACATATTTAATTATTTCTATCATCATCATATGTACTCCATGAAAAACTGTAAAATGAAGATAGAGGATTTTCTATAGTAATATAAAAAAAACAACTACATCGTCGACTTTGCAATGAAAAATCTATTTATACGATGAAAATAAAATTTAGCCAGTAAAACACAGTATGAAGCCATTATAAATTGTTCATTATAATTGCATTCATTTGTTTGATTTTCATAGTGCTGATACTGTGTGCGGTCCATGTAGAAAAGGTTTGTGCTTGTTCGTGTTACGAACTTTGCATACGCCAAATTGCACAGAATTTGTATATATGTGTGTATGTGAATAAAGGAAAATGCTGTTGTTCATCATTAAATTAATTAAAATTCATTCTACTCCATATTTTCAGCAAGTGTTACACGATATCATTCAAAAACAAATTGAAATTCATCCGTTATTTCGTTTCTTTTAATTATTATTATTTCTTACATAAACACACACACACACATTTCGGGGCGATGTTCGCATCCACGACAAAGTGATACAGATAAAAACCTAAGAGAGCCAAATTCAATTAAATAAAACTTGTAAATCTGTATATATGAATTTGAACCGCATTTTGTCTAACCAAATTATGCAACAATAACAAAATGAACGAGAAAAGCTAAGAATATTTTTGTAATAGCATCACGTGACCATAAATAACAGTTTCTACACGTATAAAGCTTCACATAAAAATGAATAACGACGTTCAAAAAACAAGAAGAAACAAACAAATCACAAGGCAGAAAAAGAAACAAAACTCAGGCGTTTATTTTGCTACAAGTTTTTTTTTTCATTGTGCCTTCTTCTTTGTTGCATATACTTTTTTGGTTTGTAGAAAGTATCAAGTCTGTTTATGCTCGTCTATTTATGTACAACGGTGAGTGTGTATTTTGACTTAATCAAAATTGTGGAACCGAAAAATAGCTTTACACTTTCCTCAAAAAGCAAACAAACCGCCAATTTCATGGCGAATGAAACAAAACAAAAAACACAACACAGACGAGAAAAAAAATCATGCAAAATTGCACAAAAAGAGCAAATATTTTACATTACATGCCAGCGAATTGTATCTTGAAGTTTTTTTCATCGCCCATCGTGTTGCTACATTCAGTAGTTTCAGCCCGAGTATTGTCTTTGGACAGTGCATTTACAACCATCCAGTTTAAATGCGCGTGAGCGACCAAACACCAGGCCAAATAATGTGTACGATAGATTTGCGTTTTCATTCGTGTACAATTAATTTTCCAGTGTCTGCATTTTTCGGCACGCTACTTTATTATAAATGAGTCTTTTACCTAAAAACATTATGACCAACCATAAATTCGAGACAACCACAATCGTTGATGAAGAGAAAGCACCAAATACCCACAAACAGCCGGCACACTATATCAAAATGCAATAAGAAGGCGAAAAATACACACAAACGAACTACGCGACTGTAATAAAATATATTTTTTTATTAATATTTTAATTACCGCCGGCAAAAATTATTATTCATTATCACTGCAAATGGCAAATTGGCGCCACACACACATGAAACCGAACATTTTCCAGCCCCTTTGGATTGCATAACTGAAAATAATTTTCCGCTTTAATCCTGATTTTTATTTTATTCGTTTTTTCGCTCTCTCTCTCTCTCTCTCTCTCTCTCTCTCTTCGAAAAGATAGGCCATTATTTATTTTGTACCAACTGCACAACGGATTTTTTTTATTCGGTTCACATTGTAGAAGTTGAATTTCATTTGGATAAACGTTTTGCAATTTTTAATTATTAAATGCATAAATTCTGTTTTCTGGTGATTATTTTCCATAGATTACGCTCGGACGGCTGTCGCTGCTGTTGAAAATAATCATATCGAATCAAATATGTCGCTGCATCCATATTTTGATTTTGATGTGCCGCGCAACGTAACTGCACGGGTGGGCCAAACAGCATTTTTACGGTGTCGCGTTGAACAACTGGGCGATAAATCGGTAAGTCATTTTAAATTGTGCCCAAACACAAAATTATTGAGTCATGAGACCATCTTGTTCGTTCATTCTCTTGCGTACCACATTTTACCAAATGATTTATGATGACGTCATCTATCGTGAAATTCATATTTCAACTGGCAAAAGCATAAAACATTCATATTGTACTTGTAAATCTCAACGAAGCAAGCGAAAAAAATTAATAAATTTTCTGCACGACGTATGAAACCGTTGAGACGATGCGCATACGGCAAAGAAAATGAAAAATTATATGCTTGAAATGAAGTTAATTTTAATTGCATCACACAATTCAGGTGACAACAGTTCAGTAAAGCGGTACTAAAAGCATCTGTTTGAAGAATAATCTCACGATAAAATGGAACATTTCTAGGCAACGGCAAAAGAGATTTGTCGAGTGAATAAAAATGTGAGAGAGATCCGTTTATCGAATGCGCAATTTTGGCATTTTTCATCGCACTAGTACCCGTTTCGGATAAACGAACTTGAGTATAAAACAAAAGGCTTGAAATTCAAGTTTCCCAATGCATTGCACATACGTGCTTATACTATTTTTGCTTAATAAAATATTCGCGATGAGAGTGACTGCTTCAATTCAGTGATGAGCACAGACGACAAACAATTTACCATTAACTTCTTCAATTACGTTGTCGTCACCAACAACACACACACACACTCACATGTATTTCTACTTTTTTCGTTTCTCCCACACTCATCACACTTATTTTTCAAAAGAGTTCATCACATTGCTTGTGCTCTCTTGTCTACTACCTCATTATTATCTCAGTTCAGTAAACACATAAAATTTGAATGCGAATCAAATGTGAATAAACACGTCGCTAGCGCTATGCATACACATACACAAATAATTCAGGCGAGCGAACACTTCACAGCGAAAGCAGTATCAAGTGAAAGTTATCAACGTTGACGGTTTCCAAATCGATGTTTAATTTTGTTCGTACAAATGATAAGAACAGTGTGAAGAAATTGTTTCCTACTTGTGCTTCTTAGCACTGAATTGACATTGAAGAACAAATACACGGGAAAAAAAGAGGAACAGCATCGAAGCATACTAAATTACATGCTCGAAAATTTATTTATAAAATTCCACGACTAAAATCCTGCATAGTCGAACATTTTTCGAAACATTCACTTTTTCAAGTACCAAAACCGTATACACACACACAGTCTTGTTGTCAAATTAATTTTAACGCCATGTCGTTTCTTATGCACGCGATTTCTCTCTCGTTTCTTGTCTATTACATTTGTTCTATTCGATATGGTACAATAAGTAATTTCAGGACGTTCGCTTGTTAATGCGATTAAAGGCAACACAGTTGAAAGCGCCTCTTTTCCATATAATTTACAAGCAGACACATTCTGTTTGTTTGAGGCAACAACAAAAAACAAGACTTCAAAACCATATTACAGACCGAACCGAATGAGCGGAATAACCAAAAGAATTCACAAAATACACATTCGCAGGAAGCACTCACTGAAACAATTTCTATTCTTCCTCTTTTCGAAAGTGACAGTGAAAAATAAATCCATTATTACAGTTTACTGGAAACAATAAAAAGAATGCAAAAAACGAGCAACTCCGCCAGGTGAATATGAACAACGAATGAATGCTAAACAAACGAACCCAACCATTAAGATGGGAACATTGAAACGGAAGCGTGACTTCATTTCACATTCGCACATTTTCATTCAACGCAGCATTTTCATGGAATCCTTATTGAGTGCCCGAAATGTACGTGGATATAACCTTTTTTTCACTCTCGCTACGTCGTATTGTATTTCGTTGTACCACTTTTATACGTATTGTTGTGAAATGTGTACTAAAAATCATGTGACGAGACCTTACTTAAGTGAATTAGGATCTTCAAAACATTATTTGAAAAGAAAAAATCCAGTTGGGGTGTATTTGAAGTGCAATAATAGCCAATGAGTAATACTGAAATTGAGGTCATCTCCAAAAACCAAACACCAGATTTGAAAAGAGTACTCGTACAGATACACGTTAAGTATCAAAATGATTATACAAACAATAATGGCTTATTTAAAGGATTTGTGATACTTTCGGATTTGCAATCTGCATTTTCATTCCATTGAAGAGTCCATATCTTCAACCAAAGTGCATTCAGCAAATAACAGTCAGTAAATGTCCATCAAATCCAAAATGTTCGGTTTTAAGATATTTTATCTAAAAATCACCACGTTCTTTGAAACATTGAAATTAAATTCTTTACACATTTTTGCTTGTAATCGGACTTTTCCAATGACATGAGCTTTTTGTAGTTTAACCAGATTTCACAATGATTTTGGTTATTTTTCGTTTTATAAGTAAATCGCACGAATTCATTGTTCGAATAGCAAGCAAATATTTCAGCTACGGAATGTGTATTTTACATCAAGACGCAGATGCAAAATTCTAAGAACAGAATATTTGTTGAATGTACAACAGAGAGATACTTTAAAATGTTTGATATAGAGTCCATATTGCTGCTGACATTTTCAATAACAATAGACATTTCAAGTAGATTTTCGGACTTTTATTTGTCATACCAAATGGTAATGCTGCTTTTATGGGAAAATCAGTGTTATAAAATCGATTTTATTCATTTTATGAACACAATAAGCCCGAAAAAAATTGTTTTGATTGTAAAACTTTGAATGTGTGATTCGATGTATAGAAAAAAGAATCTCACAAAGAAATGCAAACAATAGTACGATATGAACAAAAAAATTGAATATGACGCATGTTTCACGATGGGTTTTTGGTTCTCGGTGGTGATTGGTTCAACGTGCTGACCTTATGCCAATGCCTACTTTAAAAATTTGACCTTCATTGATTGGTTTTCAGTAATTTAAAGTATCATCAGAGGCAAGTAAGGGGTAAAAATCGATTTATCTCATTTAAAATCTCAAAATTTAACAGAGAAAATTGTTAAGGTGTTTTCGATTCCACTCAGATCAAAATTGATTACCAGGGAGCGAATTTGGCTCAAAATCCCTGATAAAAAGAGAGAATTTTACCCATCTATTGGGAATTACATCCTATTTTCTGGGGCGTTTTCAAACGCTGGAGGGTATAATGCGACCAATATGCGTATTCAACGGCTCTTTGTAACTGCGTTTTTTTCAAAAGAGATTTCTTTTTAATCTCATCGATTCACATATAAATTGAAAATAGACGTAATAAGTCATAGACAATGTCAAGCATCAGTCGAGGACGAATATTTGCAGTTACAATATGCTGCAATTTAATAAAAAAGCACATCACAAAGAAGCGTCTATTTAGAAAATTAATTTGCCAATTTTATCGAAAAATTGATTTATTATCTTCAAGTATTATCACAAAGGTGAAGTACGGGTCATTCCCTTCAATAAAATAAAGTGCACTTATCTACTATTCAGCAAAATATTGCTTTGAAATTGGCACTTATCTTCAATATTCCCATCAATTCTTCCTTGAATAAAGTTGAACACATACTGTTCAAGTATGAAATTGAAAATATAATAAAAAATGAGGACATCACGAAGTTGTTTTTCGTAAAATAATCAGAAGAAATATGAGCAGAAATCAAATCTACTTTCAATGAAAAAAAAGCCACCTGCAGAGCAAATAAATGTACCGGCATAAAAAGTGGCATTCGACTATTTATTACCATTCATTTCATTTGAATTGCATTAGCAATTACAAAAAAAAAGTACGCTGAAAAAAAGAGTTGTGAATAGAATCTCGGTTTAATGGTACTGGAACTGTTGACATGAATATTTAATACTAAAATCCGATCTACATGACACAAAACTATTTTTATGACTGCAACTGCATTTTAGTACCCGTATCCAATTACTGTAAACCGATTGAATGAGTTTAGTGAAGTGATTTCAGATGCTGTGTAATAAAAGAATGTTATTGGTACACAAGCGAATAAATAATGTACGGCTCAATTTGAATATTCTTACTTTTGAATTTCACTTTTGTGGGCATTTAAAATGCTCAATAGAGTTCAGTTGAACCCCAAACCCGGAGCATACATTATATAGGCTTTTTGTGTTGAAATTGCTGTTGTTTTTACATGACAACGAGCGCTCCATTTGTTTTGGCATATCATTTTACATTACAGTACAGCATGTGGGTTGGAATTAATGCACTTCGATCGTTGAACTTTGTCGACGACGTCATTGAGCGAACATCATCATTTTCAAAATGCTACCTTTAAATTGCCTCAAATCGAGCGAAATATTTATACATGCTTACAACCATAAATACGCTTTGTTGACAAAGGGGAGCGGGAGAGAGGCAGAGAGAGAGTAAAAGCAAGTCTCATCTCCATCCGGTCAATTGTCGTGAAAGATGACGTACATTTAAGTATGTAAATCTCTTGTTAAATTTTTATGAATGCGTATACGTATCTGAATCTGATATGTGTGCATTGTATGATGGCAGAATGTGACTCGACTGGTGTTGAACAACAAATGCGCTCAAGTGAGCTCATATCCAGAGATTCATTGAGAAAGGCATCATCATATTTAGATGGTAAAGGCCATACATTTTTATTCCCTGCTTCAATATGATATGATGTTGAGAGTTGAGTAAGTAAGTGAGCGAAGTGAATGAATGGTTGTCTAAGTTTTTGAGATGGTAACTAGCTTACAATGCGAGTCAGTTTTGTGCAAAATGCTCGCCATGGGTAAAAGTGTCTAATGCGCTTATTCATAAATAATGAGCAATAGCATGGACCTCCTACGCCCTTGCACATAAGCAATGCTATGAGTGAGTATTCACCACAAGAGATGAATTACACATTTCAAGGCTTTTTATCATCGCCTTCTGTTCCTCTTTCACCTCCCATTTTACCTCATTATTACCACTCACGCAATATTTCTCTGAATGCGTTTTTTTCGCCTGAACTTTACTCTGCCAAAATATTTACATCGTTTCATGTGATCTCATGGTATGTTAGGTTCAGGCCTGCAATGTGCTTTAAGTATATTTTTGATGTAAACCAAATCGTACGAGGGCGACTATTTAAGTTTCTTCAATATGTATGTTTTAGTATTGCCCGATGCAAACCATTGTCATATTCGTAAAGTTGGACATTTTTCATGACCATTTGACTTAACAGGACGAATTTTAGTTTTGTGGTATGGCCACGGTGTCAGTTGGAAAAGGTCAACTTCGCAAAAAAATGAAATTTACAAAAAAGATTATTTCTCATAAGTTTTCAAAAAGAGCTGCCTGCTCAACAGTATTACTTCCGACTCAAGTCGGGGTATGGGAAGGAAGTACCATGCCTTGCCACTGTATACAACTGGTTCACTGAATCCCATCGTCATGGTGCTCGCTACAGTGATCAATTGCGCGATGGTCCTTCGAAAATTGATGTCATCGAGAAAAACTCTGGTGCCGATTGAGTTAGGATCGAAGTTTCTTTTACAGTTAAATTGTGGTATGCCCAAGGATCACAGAGACTCCAATCATTTGGTTCTTCCATGAATTACAACATGAAAAAAATAAATCTTTACGTGTCAACCCACAGTTGCTCAAAAATCGATTGATTTTAATCACATCCAAAAAATCATAACCAATTTGACATAGGATAATAAAAACACGTCTATACGATCGCAATAGAAGCCAAGACATGATTCCAGTAGTTTGGACCTGAAACAAAAACTTGGTTGACTCTCTGAGTCTTCAAACATGAACACAATCGAACAAAAGTTGTTCGTTTGTGAAGTGATAGGGAAAATCGGACCTCATTATTTTACAGTGTTATGTGTCATGTTGCTACCATGCCTTTAGAGGATGAAAGGTCCTTCAATGCTGAATAGTACACAACCATTTGATTGTCAAAAGTCATCACGGGAATATGGAGACCGTACCGAAATTATGCCCAAAATGTCACACTGTTAGCGCCACGACGGAATTCAATGTAATCTACACTAAGTTGCCGCCAAATAGTGAAAAGACTTTTGCTCAGTTGCAACCAACAGACTAGAACTCCATAGTTGTCCGTAGTGGCGCTAGCAGTGCTACAGTTTTGCATTTTATACAGTCTCTTATGGAGCATAATTTCTGTGTGATGGAGACCAAAACTCTGAAACTTATAATCCCAAAACATGGCAAAAAGAAGCCCATCAAACAGTCGACTATTTGACCACCCAAAAGATCGAATTGATGCACAATACTCCGTGTACGAATTATTCGGGACCCCTCTGTCCACCAGAGACCAAAATCAGTTGGATACAATATATTTTTCGTACTTGAAATTAGGTGCATATTCAAAAAAGTGCACTTTTTGGAGTGTCATGTTTAAGCTGCTGTCGTAGCCATACCACAAAACTAAAATTCGTCCTGTTAAGTCAAATGGTCATGAAAAATGTCCAACTTCACGAATATGACAATGGTTTGCATCGGGCAATACTAAAACATACATATTGAAGAAACTTAAATAGTCGCCTACGTATCGTACTATTTATTCTTTCACATGCTCAACTTCACATGACACTTCTTTTTTTCACCTATCAGGTCACATGTCCTTGCATTTCAATTCCTATTTCCGGAAATATGATAAATAGGCGCAATGCTTTGTAATCGCATTTGCTTCGAAAAATGGGAATAAAAAACCGAACGAAAATGTGTTAGAGCATAAAGAGAATCTGAATTCAAAATTAAATGGAAACATTACGTACGGATTTTTGCTGTGTTGTTGCATTTTTTATCTATTACATGGTGTGTCATGCCAAAATAGCAATGTATTTTTTTGTTCATCGTAACCGCTCGAAACAGAAATGTAATCAGCTCGAGTATTTAATACATACAATCCGTACGTATTATTGAATTCTGTTCGTTCAACGATGTGTCTTTTTTTCGAATAGGATCGAAAACACAATTCGCAATACGCTTTCGATGATGTGAAAGAAGATAAAAATGTATACATAACGCACTTCGATTATTTGAACATCATTTTGCAAATTGTTGGTGAAAAAAAGAATCCGTGTAAAATAGATTTTCATGAAAAGATGGCATTGAGCTGAAACAAAAATCGACAAACATTTTATGGCTTGTATTTATTCACGTCGATTGTGTTTACATGTGCTTGGAGGGCTCTTTTAATGACAGAAAGATGAACCGTATGTCTTTGCCGAACATCGGACTTTCGCATCGACAAGCATTTCTCTTCGGAATGTCAACAAACTATAAAAAAAAACGACTTGAACGCCGAGAAAAAAAACTCGGTTTGTCAAATAGAAAAGACATCTCCATATACATGGAACCTATTTCACCTTAGTCGCAATTTGCGCAAACTAACTAACGATTCGTATAGAACAAATGTGGTCGATCTTGTTCCAAACACATTATTATTTTTCCCCCTGTTTTTTGTTCGTCTTCTCTATTCACACTTGCGATACGGCGTAAAGCATTTGATTGCGTGTTATAAGCACATTTACTCAACAAACGATAGATCTTTTGAAAGAGGAGTGAAAATGTCCTTGTCGTTTTCTATTTTCTGTATTTATTTTTTTTGCCGTGAGAAATATACATTTCAAATCACAAAGAATTTTTAATTTCCGAGAAAAAGTTTGAAAAATATGTATTCTTCGTCATCATTATTTCATGAGTGAATGGAAGTTTTTAGTTCATTGAATTAAGACGCTTTTTTCGGACCACTTCTTTTGGCATGCTGTAACTAAATTCAATGAGATTCTTTTACGCTTCAGGGACACAAATAAAAATCGAATGAAGAGAAAAGAATTTCGTTTTATACGAAAAAGATGTACTTTGATTTTGTTCGGATGTGTCATTATAAGTATAACAATGTGTTTCGGAGCGAAGATTTTTTAGGGATTTCGTTCAGTGACCATCTTGACATCAATTGCATCTATAGACTTGAAGCAATTTATTTTCAATATATGTGTTTTTCGTCCCAATATTAACTATTTCTATTTTTATTCAACAATCTGTTTATTTTTATCTATTTTTACCGCCAGGTTTCTTGGATTCGGGCTCGAGATTTACACATCTTGACGGCTGGCGTTTTAACTTACACTTCCGACGAAAGATTTCAGGTAAGAAAAACACAAACACACACACACGCTCAATAACATCCATTATGCACGCACATAAATATTGTACACGATGTTTTTTTTTTGGGGTAAGATCATAAACGGCTTCCAACCAAAAAGCTATTCTTTTAGAGAGAGCAGAATGAAGAGGTAGATGGTAAAGTGTCGATTCGAATATAGCATGCAAGAAGCATTGTCTTTCCGCTCTATCTATTTATTTATTGAAAACGTTTTATGGTTGTTGTCGTCGAAGCAAAGGAAATGACGGTACAACGGAAAACACTGAAGCAACGACATTGAGCTAGTGCAATTTTCTGTTTCGATGTTGTTGATGGCGTCGATAAATTGATATGATTTCATGCTCAACATCCAATACATTTGCGTCTATATAAATAAAACCAAGCGATAAAATATGTCGCGTGCGCGCGTTATTATGCTCCGGTATTTCGCTTTGTATACTTGTCCATGATTTTGGTATTTTAACATTCGTTGTTCGTTTTTCGATCACTGCTAGCTAAATTTTCTGGTCGATACATATATAACCTTAATGTATGAGATGTTGTGCGATTTTTCTCTGTTCGCTGTGATGCCATTTACGACATTTACAGATGTGTTGACAAGATAAATAAAAGAAAATAGTTTGGACAGGCGTGAAAATTGCCGGGTGAAAGGTTCAGGCATGAGTTCAACATGCTGTTGAGATGCGAAAAGACGAGACAAATTCAAATTCATTTCCACTGTTTTTGTGTATGGCAAATAGTACATGAGTTGACATCACTCAGCATGAGATAGAGGAAAGTGTTGTTTTTTTCTTCTTCTTAGTGTTCACATCACCTACACACGTTTGTAAACACTCACTCGTTTAGTAAGAGCTAAAGCTGGAGAATGAGAAAAATTCATTGTCAGTTTCAGTGCATATACAGTGCCGGCGAGAATGAAATGCGTGGTCACTTTGAGCGTGAAAATGAATTTGGTACGCATGAAAAGGATATGTTGAGAACGTGCTTGATTAGTGACGATCCGTACCAAGAGCAAAAGACTTATTAATTCTAGAGATAGAGTGCAAAATATATTTTATTTTATTTTTTGTGGGAAGGAGAGGTGCTAGATGCCAAAAAATTTCACATTTTTATGATTATCTTTGTGTCTTTGGGGCCATATTACGATTATATGATTTTATTTGATTTTGTCTCAAGCATCTCAAGCGCATTATGATGAAGATGCACGGCCAGACATCGCGCCAGCATTCATAAATGGTATTACATTACAAATGAACGACAAAAAAATGATGATGAGAAAATTCCATTACTTTGTGCGCTCGCATCGACAAACAGTTAAGCTCCTGTGAATCCGTACACTCCAATCGATTATTGTATGTAAGTTGGACTGCCAAAGTCAATGAATATGGATGTCTACAATGTTGTTAAGCCAACGGCAATGTTGATTAATACAAGCTCAAAATATCACTGAAACGAAAAACATACGCACCAAACACGCACACATGCACACGCATACAAATAAAAAGAAGAAAAATATTGTTCCAGACAGTAACAGCACTTTCTACAATATGCGAACACCGGTGCTCTTGATTCTGGCATTAATCAATTCACTAGGCAGAGAAGCGTGGCAAATTCATTGCCAATTTTCTTTTTCACCTCGGCGCACATAATCCAATATGCAGTAAAACAAATGTTCTTTATGGCATCAAAGTATAGAAATCGAATGGTGTTTCAAATGGTAAATCGAATAAAATCGACGACGATGATGCCGTCGCCGCCGCCGCTGAGCTTGATTGCAAAAAGAATAAGACCCACACACTTCATGCCGAATGTGATGTACGTATAATCTATCGGAGCAATTAAAATTTATATCACCTTTGAGGATATGTGTGTATGTGTGCCTATGTTCGTCTCTCTCCCTCTCCACATGTCAATGATTTGGTTCAATGGGTCAGAACAACAAATATTACCAAGTGGAATTGCAATCGGTGTGTGAATAGGACGCTGTTATGCGGAACGAACGAACACAACACGTAATGTACATAATTTATTTGTTGGTCAAGCATCAACACTCACAATTGCAAGCACAGAGCACACATTGTCGAAGGATATGCATGTGCGACTGAGTGATTTTCGAAAAGTGTGTGCTTTGTGTCTGTGTGTGTGAGCATGTGACGGTAAACTCTACTCATCTTCATTTTCTGCCTATGCCATTTTTCAAAGACAAAAAGAACAATTTCTATTTTGATGTCATTCCATTCTCTCTTTCACTCAATCGCTTTCTTTTTCTTTTATTTTCGCAGGTGATACGATCAGAAGATTCGGAAAATTGGACACTGCAAATAAAATTTTCACAGGCACGTGATGGTGGCATATACGAGGTATGAAACTGTGTGATTCTCACATATCGAAAATGTTGTACATCCACTTTGGATGTGTATAAAACGGTAAATTGAACTTGTCTTCATTTTCAGTGCCAAGTGAATTCGGAACCAAAAATGTCGATGGCATTTCGCTTAAATATTGTCGGTAAGTGAGGTTCAGAGGTAATTTTGTTTTATTGCCAAAGTTGTATCCAAATGCGGATACACCAGTAGTAAACACACATATTCTCATATTCGTTCAATCGCAGATAAAGTTCAAAAGATGGAGCATCGCACTTTTTGTCATATTTCCGTACCATTACAGAACAATAGTGCCATTGATTCAGTCTAACACATAAAACGAACAAAAAAAGAGATAGAAATCGATTAAGATTCTCGTCGATTTTTCGTCGTACACATTGCCAACGATATATCGCATCCAAAGTCCTTCGCTCAGACAGTTACCATTTTAAAGCGGTTTCTTTTGCTTTGACTTTCGGTTCTTTCTCACTTTTCTTGAACACAATCACTAACTTCTAACCAAATTCAAACAATGCCAATGAAAACATTAATTTAAAATAGAATTTCGTTTCCTTATCTTGTGTGCAATGTGTTTTTTTTTACTCTCATTCTCTTGCCAATCAGTAAAAAAAGGGCGCGAGGCGATGCCAGTAGCCATTTATGTTGACAATCCACCTACACATTGAGTAACAAACAAAAGTTCGTGAGAAAACGAAAAAAAGTGACAAAAAACAATCTGTAGACTGATCACCGATTGGGATCTATAGAAAAACGAATATGAAAAACCCATTTTCCAACGCAACAAAACCATTCGGATGGAGAAAAAAGTCACTTCTTCGAAATCTCCATTGAAATAATCAATGGCTTTCGTTTGCTTTTGCTGATGCTTACAAATGTTTGTGCAAATCCTTTTTCTCTCTTCCGCGCGCGAAGAAGACATGTGCATCAAACTTGAGATATACATCAGTAAATGGTCTATTACATTTGTTCAAATCGACGAATCCCACTCGAGCTGAATGTGTAAGTGAGTTCAGGGTTGAAACAAAAAAAAAACTTTTCAAATTCATTTGGAGCAAGTTGAAGATGAATCAGAAACGTTTGTTAAACAATGGATTATTTGACATTTAAACGAGACCCTGTTTTTGAAGCACTACCCCATCCTATTATTCGTATCACCAGGAAAAAGCTTTAGGTTTTTTTCCACGACAAAAAACTGGATACAAAATTCCACTCAAAATAAAGTACAAAGAGACACATGGAGAGAGAGAATGGATCTTACCGTCAATTTAACAATTTATTTTCATTGTTTGAAGCGAAATTGCTTCTAAAACAGTCGAAAAACACAAACAATACATATCGATCAGTGAACACAAATGAATTAGGTAGCTCAAAGTGGCGACATACAAAACGCAGATCAGAAAAAAAAATTGGCAACTTTATTCGTTATTTTTGTTTGGTTCGTTTAATTAAAGCCATTCAACATTTAGCTACACGAAGGTGACATGTTCCATTTCACGTTTTCATGTTCGCTTCTCTAAAATGGAAAATTATTGCGAGGAAAAAAATGGTCGACGAAAATAATTTATGTTTTCCAAGTCAAATATTTCATTTTATCACATTTCATTTGAAATTGTTTCGCTCGTTTAACTACTAATGAAACTACATTCCGTACAAATATTCATTTTTGAGCATAGATACCCAGTTTAATTTACACATACACTTAGTTTATGTCGATATTTGCGAAAAAGCTCAATGAGCTTGAATAATAAACAATGTAATTGAGCTAGTTGTATAGAGTAACAAATTAATTAGTGTGTTTCTATGTCATTATATCGTTTAAAACGTCAAGCAAGCTTAGTATACAAGTGATACCGAGAAATGAGATGGAATCGTTCGTCTCGTACAATATGAAAAAAACCGGAAAGTGTTTGTGTGCAATGGGGGTGAAGGAAAATCGCATGGCACTGTGTTTAATAGTTAAAATCATTGAAGCAAAAAGACGAGAAAAATACCAAGCGATCTGATATGCATGCGAAAAATGACTGGAGACAGCGATATTTAAATTTAATTTGCTGCGTTCATGCTTCGACGAAAGTAACAGCTCGTTAGAATACAACGCACAACTATTGCGACTCCAAGTGCATGTTACTGTGCAAATGGCGAATACAAATTTTGCATACAATCTCCTTTTTTTACTATTTTTACGCTGAAAGAAGGCGAAAAAATGCATCCTAACTAATTAGACTCGCAGTCTTTCTCGAATGGAACCAAAATCCTATTAATTCTGCGGCAAACACTTGACCTCGTTTTGCATGCATTTTCTCATAAGACACTAGCTAAACATGTAGCGCGAATGGTGAAATGCATTTCACATAAATCGATGAGTTTGCATTCAATTACGCTAATTACATATTTTCTTGTTTATTCGAGTGTAAAACTACATGAAATTATGCCGCAAATACTACAAACGCTATACAATGTATGGCTCTGGAGTAGCTGTTGCTGTTTTCTCTCCGTTGTGATTTAGTCATTTAAATACATATGTGTTTGTTTGTGCATTTTTTTTTTATTACAGAGGCAAAAGCAGTTGTCGTTGGACCAACTGATATTTACGTAAAAATGGGAAGTGAAGTGGTGTTGACATGCATTGTGAGTCAAGGGCCGCATGAGCTTGGAACCATTTACTGGTATCGAGGTGAGTTGTCATTTTATTTGTTAGTGGAAAAAAAAGCAGAATAAATTTTGATGAAAAACTAATTAAATTGACATTGTTTTTTTTTTAATTTCGTTTTTTGTTCTCATTTTGTCACTTGGTTGTTGCACATTTTCAACCAGATTCTACTATGTTGGACGTTCCTGCAGAGTTTGAATCAAATGACGTGGACTATTCGCCCCGAATCACCGTCGACACAAAATGGACAGATGCGTTGCGCTCAAGGTAATAAATACCATTTTTACTACTCAATACCTCAATGTCTCAGTTTAATCTCGCTTCCGCTGAAATATATATCCTTTTTTTCGTGTGTCTGTTTTTGTGCTGTTGCATTATTGTTTCATTCAATTTTGTTGGGAAAATTTTCCTTTTTCTCAAAGTCCGTTTACGTGTTCGTATCGATTGCAATTGTTTTTGTTTTTGCGGATGAAAACTTTGCAATAGATAGAATTAAAGGAAGTATCAAAGCGATACACAACAGTAACTCTTGATGAAAGTTCCTTTTTTTTCGAGCACAAAAACAGGAAAAATCAATTATAGTTTTTGTTGTTGTTGTTGTTGTTGTTGTTGCTATTTGTGCAAGTTGCTGTAACCCTTTTTCTGGTTCCGTTTTTATCTCATTTTTCTTTTCGGTTGGAATTTTGTTACTATGTATCGTCGTCGTCATCGTGTGCGGATTGAATGGAAAATCTATTGTTAGATTGAAAATATCCGCTGCAAAAGTCACAGACTCTGGGAATTACACCTGCTTTCCAACAGCAGCCGAAGCAGCCAGCGTTACTGTGCACATTATTAATGGTAAGTGTCAATTTTCTCAAATTTAGTGTTTATTCATTCACGCACCAAGAGCCAATAAACCCGAAAAAACACAACAATGACCGAAACAGGAGAAAGCTCATTGATAAATAAATAAGCTGATTGACACACGCTATTCCATACTATATCACTCTCTTTCTCTCATCGACGTAAAAAAAAGAGATCGCTCTCTCAAAATTGATGCGCAAAAACAATAGCCAACGGTTTATGAAACAATAGCCAACGAAGCGAGGAATGGATTGCCGTTAGACAATGAAATGAAGAAGAAGCATGCATATACACAAGAGAGAGAGAGAAAGACAGAGAAAAAAAATTGTTTTGCCTGAAACTGAAACATCGCTCGAGCGAATTCATTTTGAACAGTTTGGTTCTTTCGGTCGTCCGTACGGAAAATGGCAAAAAGTTCATTAAAAATAACAAAATGTGTGATGATGACGTTAGTACTATCATTGTTGTTGCTGTTGCAACAACAGCAACAACAATGATAGCTACATATCACCAGTAATACTAATGTGAATACGGCACACCATTGGAACGACAATTCAGCACGTGAATTGTAACGCGCACAAACATGAGATAAAGTAACAATCACAATGCTTGTGCAAGCATTTGTATTCATTACAACACCACCTTTAATTCCGTTTTATTCTGCAATGCGTTTTTTTTGTTTCGCTCGTGTAAGCGCGAATGGTAGTGGCAACGACAGCAATAGCCAGCACCCAGCAGCAGTGCTAGTAGTGATGGTAATTCGGGGGGCATTGATAGGGCATCACACAGCATTTCCATAAATGTTGAGAAAAAAAGCTCGGGTGATTGTGTAATTATGTATCTGCATGATAAGCATGTGATTCGGATGTTATGTCCATTTGTATGATGCGATTGTGAGAAAAATGACCCGTTGTTATTTTTTTTCTCTCTCTCTTTTATATCACTGTTGAGAATTTCACAAACGAATAAAAAAAACACAATGACAACATCACCGACAAAGTCACATAGACAGCGCAAGAAAAAGACACTAACAGCTAATTTATTCGAAAGTTGTAGCTTGTGCAACGAAAATGAGACAAATGGCGACAATAAATTATTCATAATAATGATGGTCCATGTATCGGAGTTTCGTTGTTGCTGCTTACAGTACATAAACAAAAGGATTATAATCTCAAAGGGGAATTATATCGACATTGTGCATAGAAACTACGTTCGTTCAGTCACGGACATTTGTTTGTTTGTTTGTTTTTTTTTTTTTTGCATTTTACAAACAACTGGCGTATCTCGTTCACTCACACGAAAAAAAGAGAACCATTTTGAATTCAGACATTACATGGAAATATAAAATCTAAATTTATTCATGGCGGAAATTTCTCAATTCAATCTCCATTTGAATACGTTTGTCTCATTATTATCGTTGTGCGCGCTCTCGATTTCGGATGACACTTTTCCACCATCGACATTCATCTTCATCATTCGTATCAAAATTTTATTGCAATGACCGATGGATTCGCACCCATTTTTTTTCGCTCACCATCCAATTTTCGCTTTTTATGTATACAAATGCCAACTAACAACTGAATCTCATCGATTAACATTGACACAACACACACACACACACAAGCTCACTAGTACGACACACAAAAAATCGTTTTGTTTCATTATCACATCGCACAGCGTACAGTACGTTTCGGATTCATGGCATACGAAATAAATCCAATACAAATGACTTCCTATTTCTTTTGTCAGATTTTTTTATTATTTCGATTTGTTGCAGCAGCAGTAACAATAGACGGGAAGCAAGTGAAGCCATAGAGTGAGCTTTGTGTATGTGTGAGTATGTGTGTGCGGTTGAATTAGAACCTCATCACGCGGAAATGGCTTGCACAATGTTTGAAAATTACCGTCCGAAAGTGTTCGCTTAGCATTTATTCCGTTCGCACAATATTTACGTTTTCAAACACGCACTTTTGATTGATTCCAATTGTTAATTGAGCCATTAGGCGAAACATTTACGGGATTTTTTTGTGTTGTTATTGTTGTCGTGGCCGTTGTTGCAAAGCACTTTGTCAATTTGATAAATACATTGCAGTATTTTATGCTTGTTTGCGTGAAATCAACGTTCAAGCGCTGTTGGAGGGAGAGAGAGAGAGAGAGAGAGCAAAAAATGCCACGCAATCAATTGTACAAAGCATTTCGCATTACCTATAATGAATCTGTTAAGCTCCACGTGGGCATTCTTCGGAATGTTTCCATCATATAAAAATGTATTACACACGGAAATGGTTTCCTTGCACGCAACATCGAGAATGTGAAAAGCGAGTGAAAAATGTGTGAGATTCAATTGTGGGTGACGAATTGGCGTATTTTTCGAAGAGCATTTCCTTTGAATTTTCGGTCATGTTTAGTAATTTGATCAATTTTTTCGGAAATTCCATTTTAATTTGGTTTTGATATTTCTTGTGTTTTTGATTTGTTTTCGTTTCGGGTGTTTTTATTTTGATTTTCTGTTGTTTAGGTGAACATCCGGAGGCAATACAACGCGGTTGTGCAAATGCCAACATAGATATGTCAATTGTTTTTTACATCGTAACACTGTCAATGGTGTTGCAGCAGTTGAATCGGATAACACATGGCTATGGTGTATCATACGATGTGATTCGATGGCTCAAGTCGATAACACCGAATACAATAGCATGTAAACATCAATACCAAAATTTACCAGATTGTTCCAGTTTCAATGCGTCTGATCAATATATTGTTATTGGAATGGAACAAATCAGATTGCCGTCAACAGCAACGCGACTATCGTCCACCGTGTCGTGAGATGAACGCCACTAGGATATCAAGAAATAACAATGGCAATGGATTTTTGCTATCGGTGAATAGTTTCGGTTTATCTTGCTGCACAAACATATGGTAACGATCTGTGGTTTTTTGGATGCGATTATTTAATTTTCTGTGAAACATGTGAACAAACAATGTAACGTTGAAGACAATGTTTCCGAAGCCGAAATATGTGTAAATAAATAAGATATTTTTTTGTTGTCTTTCTGATTAGTCCATCCTATTTCTAATACATACATAATATACGATGAAATTTCTCATGTACCGTCGATGCAACCTGTGATTGGCACAAAAGTATATTCTAGCTAAAATACACTCTATTTAGATGGATTAACTTTTCATTATTTCCACCAAATGAAATTACATTTGCAATTTTTCGTTTGTTTCTCTGTGTGTTCATTTTGCAAAACGGAAAGTCACTTTAAAGAGTAAATTAAATTCCGGTGTAAATTAATTTGGATCAAGGTAACGCGGTCAACAGGATGAGCGTTAAAAAGTGAGATAGATGAAGGAAAGTTTGTTTCAATGATACACAAAATTGCAGCACAGAGTACACAGAGGAAAACATTGAAAATGTAACATCACAAAAAAAATATATATGTATATGAATGAACAAATAGCGGAAATCCCATTTGAAACATTAATCACGAACCAAGAGAAAATTAAATTAAAAAATTGAAATAGACAAAATATAAATTGTGAACACTTTTACATGTTGCATGACATCATGTCATGGCCACATTATCATTGTGACAGAGTAAATTTTAGGTAAAATGTAAAACATTGTTCATTGATAGTAAATAAATCACTGAAAAAAATCACAAGTAATAATTTAGTAAAATATAGGTGATACGGTCGGTGTTACGTCAATTTTAATCATGTTCAAATATTGATATGACCTCGCTTTAATTTTAATGGAAATTAAAGATGAAAATAGCCCGGAGTACAAGGAGTGCACTAGAGAACATATTTCACACAAGTTTAGAAAAGATAATTTCCTTGTACCGAACAAAATTCCTTAAAATATGAGAACATACACATGCACATTACTTTGAGAGTTTTTGATTGCTTAACTTGCAAAGTGGGCAATCCGACATTGTAAGTGTATTTGTATGCGTGGTTGATGTTATTACATCACCCGAGGTCACAAACAGTAATATTACATGGCATGGCATTAGAAGCGACACAATGGCATAGAATGAGTAAGAGCAAGTGATATAAATGCGATGCCAATTTGTTTGAGAGCGTATATATATATTCCGAAAATAGAACATGTTCAACATTTTGACGTCAGTTAATGAAATTCTTTTGATGAAATATGCTAACATTAAATCGGATGCTGTTTCATTTTATTATTGCTGTTTGCACAATGAAGCGGGTGACCCTTTCGAAACAAGACATTGCTTAGGTTGAGCAAATATGGCTTCAATATTATTAACGAAAAATTAAAAGAAGGAAATGGTGCAGGATCACGCGCCACAGTTGCTGGCCTCCATTAAAATACGTGATTAACGTATTTCAATTAGCTATTTAGTTTTAAATGTAAATTTTATCAAACAATGTGAAAACCATTAGGCACTAATATGTACTCAAGCGTAATATCTTTCTTGTATGTGAATGGAAATCTGTTAAATGTGACATATTAAAATTTATCTAGGTTAATGACAATCGAAATGAATTAAGAAACACCCGGAAATTGATTCGTAATGATTTTTGTCGAGGTGGCAAAAGATTACGCGTGAAGTTACACACATACACCAAGATTCTCCAACATCGCTTTTTATTTCGAACGCTATTTTTTTTAAATGAAAAAGAACTTGCAAAGATAAATGAGACGCATGTAATTTTCCTAAATGTATTTTAATTGTTGAATGAGCGAAAACGTTTTTATTTTATTTTCAAAGAGACAAAAAAGAAGATGAGTGTGATTCGTCCGTTGATTAATTGAAGCGTTTTCATTAAAATGACCTTTTCAACTGGGCTTATTTAAATTGAGAGAGCCGCATAAACGAATGAAAATTGCATTTATGGTAATAATTGGTGAAATTGTTGAAGATACAATTAATCTAAGAAATGACTTTGTTTTTTTTTTCTTTTTCGTCTTGGTTTTTTTTTTTGCGCACACTTCTCAACCTGCACATTTTGAATTCACATCATTCACACGCGCACTCAAACACTCACCAAAAGAGAGAGACACCGGGACTATTATTTATAACTGGGAGAAAGAAAGAAAAATCATAATTAATAAATTCAGACAATTTTTATTTTTCGCTCTTGTCTGTTTTGTTCACGTCAGCGAAAAAAAAGTTACAACAACAAAAAAAGAACAAGATCCTTCGTTTGGTGAACGAAATGAAAATGAAATTATATGTATAAAAATTAGCATAGAATTTATGTAAGAAAAAGAAAGATTTACCGAGATAATAGCAACGGAAAAATGGGTAAAATCATAAGATAAAGAGAAATGAAGATGGAATGAAAAAGAAGAAGAAGAAATAAAGAAATGCAAATCTAATTAAAATATGAAAACAAACAGAAAAACAAAGCTCTCGTCTTTTTAATTATACGCAATTTTTTCTCTCATTTATTTCGCTTGCCGAATCATATTAATAAGCGCCCGAGATATTTGATATGCCAGCAAATTTTAGCCGGAGCACATTCAGTTTTATGGCCGGCGGCCGCCGGTCCAAATGTAAGTACAAAATATGCTTTCGTAATAGTATTGTGCGCATGATGCATACTTTGGCACAGACAACACAACCATATCCGATATGTCTTTTGAATGCAATGTAAAGGAGCTAACATTTTATTGTTCATCACAAACGATAGCAAAAAAAAAATTGTAAACGTACACCAGGGAAAAACGAATAGACAATGCAAAAAATGAAAAATACAAGACGCGCAAATAAAAACAAATAAATAAATACGTTGAATGATGAAATCATTTTTGTGCCACTTCAATTAAAAACTTAAATTGACATTTAACTTTGGCTGTACTTGTGATGCGGAAAGGAACTTTACAATTGCGAACAAAGCGGAACAGAGAGTGAAAAATACTTTGCTCAATTCTTAATTAAACATGGAAATTCTTTAATGCATAGTCAACAAGCAAATATTGCATACCGTTCAACATCGAAATGCCTTTGAAGAAAGTTTTATTCAAATTGTCCTCTCTCTCACACAAAGGTGCGTGTGTATGTTTAAAGCATTTTAACGTACAGCAGAACAAATAAGCTGGAGTATGTCTTTGGAGAAAATGGTTAAAATGTTGCATTTCTCCATCATTGTTGTGTTGCATTTTCGATTCCTTTATAGCTTACATTTTCAAAAGAAAACGAAGCCAAGCATATCTTCTACCCCCTTGTTATAAATTGATGAATCAATCGAATAAAAAGTGAAAATAAATTTATTCCGAGCATTTTTTAAATAAAAATCCTATCAAAAGCATAACTAGTTTTTTTCATTCATGCGAATCGAGACTTTGAAAGCTTTTCATTGCTCGGACGTGCCATACAAAAGTTACTGAAATGGATACGCTTTAAGGAATATACAAACTGTGCAAAATTTGAAGAGAAAGGAAAAATTGTAATAAAAAAGGAAATATTGTAAACAAATGCTGAACATTCATTTTCAAGCATATTATTTTTCAATTTTCATAATGGAAATTCATTTGCAGGCATTAATAATTACTCACGTTGCTGCGTTTACAATTTGGTATATGTGTCCGCTGTGTGAAAAGGGGGAGGGAACGAAGTGTTCAATCATCTAATTAGATTTACCATCGACACGTCGTTAATTGCTGCGAAAATAGCGAACGCGAAGAAAAAAACATGCAAGAAAAAAAGTGATCTGAAGTGTGTTTGGTTTGATTACACTTTCTTCATCGTCTCCTCAAGAGTCAATTTGTTGGATTTACTTTCTGTTATTTTTTAGTGTTTGTTCTTCGGAAGAATGGGTCGCATTTTAAAACATTGTCTTGCCAAGTGGATGTTTCAAGCTCATAAAAAGCAACAGAAAAATGTGCATGGAGAGTACCAACTGAACGATTGAACGAAAGAAATGTTGCGTGCTTTTACACCGATTGACCTAATCAGTCGAAATGGCAGCGTATGGCAATGCAAAAAACGAAGAATCTGTATAGTGTATAGCTATTATGTCCACAATTCGGTTTTTTTTTCTTGTGCCTTTTTTTCTAATTATTACAAGAAAAGGAAGAACAACGACATCATCAAAAGGAGAATAAAGAAAGGCAAAAAGACGGAAAATATGAGCCATAATTATCTCCATCGCGTCAGCATTGTGTGTTTGATATCTTCTTTTTTTCTCTGAGGTAAGCTGTTTGATTGAAATAAAAAAAGGAATGGACGGCTCAGTGTATTGTGTCTGTTCGTCATTAGCGGATGAATAAAAAAACACTCAAATTATGTGAAACGACCGCCCAAAGAAATTTGATGGGATATTTTAGGCGCGCGTTTGCCTCAACGACATCGTAAAAACCACAAAGTGCAAAATCTCCTCTCTTTGATCGATATGTAAGTGAGAGTATTTTTATTATTATGATTGACAAAGCATTTAAAAAATCTAATAAGCCGACAATAATTTGGTAAGAATGCTGGATTCATTGCCATTGACCGTAAAAATGTGAACAAACGTCATTTTTAATTTCGCATCTCGAAAATTCATAATCGTTCAACGTGCCAACCACTAATCGTTTCAGCTCGGTTCAGTGTAGCATGGGTGCAATGTTTGCCATAGTATGGTGACAGCAATCAAACTGAATATCATGAAAGATGTTTTATAAACATAAAAATAATAATAAACCATGATATTTAATAACTCCGAAGTAGAGGAGAAAGTTTGCTTAATCATCTTGTCAAAGGTAGTTTTTATTTCGTTTTGGCTTCCATTTTACTCATCATAAACTTGCAGCTGACACTGAAGGAGCTTCAAGATATTAAGTTTCGGATACGGAATGGTTGTCTGTTTGGTTGCTTCAGCTCATGAACGAATTAATACGAACTATATATTTCAATCTCGAATTTTTTTTACAGTTTTTTAAACTTTGCACTTTTTTGTTCCGTGTACGATATCAAGTTTGTGTTTTTTTAATCAAAAACAGATCTTTTTTCTGTCTTACGTCATTTACTTCATATTTCATTTCATTGGATGAAGAAATACACATAGAGAAAGGAAGAGAGTAATGTGAAATCGATAAATAATTTAGGTAGATTTGAAAGCATACATAAAATACAAAAAGTCTTGTGTATTTGGGCGAGGAAAAAAATGCGAGAGAAAAATGAACAAAATGGTCGGTCAAATAATGACAGGAATGGCGCCAAAAGACAGAGAATTTTTTTTTTTTCGACTACTTTCATTTCGACATTTTGCTGTTTATATCTTTATTGTTCGAATGGATCTGCGTTTAAATCATAATTCCACACGAATCGAGCGTGCATAATGTGTAGCGGTTAAGGTTGTGAAATATTTGAAGCATTTCGTTTCCCTTCTATCTCATTAATAATGTGTGGCATGGGGATGCTTACAGACAATGTCAATGCATACCTTTCGGTTCGTCCGAGTGAGTGAGTAGGAGAGATGGAAAGGGGGAGGGTCTCTACACAAAGGTTGAATTATTGTGCGTACCTGAGCTTGTTTGCATTGTATGCGTGAGATCACATCATAAAACACACAACCGTATCATTAAATATTCACAACTCACGCATTTGAGAGCCATTGCGCCCAGTCACTGGCAACCATTCCAGAAATTATTGATACAATTTACAAATAAAAATAAATATATAACGGTATTCATATCGTGTTCCAT